CCTCACACTCAGTAGGCTCACACCTGACCACAGAGCCACACCCCAAGACTATTCCTGCTATTTCCACTAGGAGATCCTGGAATGATCCACACAAGAGAAACCTTGGAAGGAAGCCCTGGGTGAGGAGACAAGCTGAGAGGACCACTCAGAGTCAGCCATATGTGATAAATATTTAAGCTTTTTTTTAAGCCGAGTGATAATTTGCCTACTAAGAGAATAGAAGGGAAACCCCTCATTAAGGGACAGAAAGGCCCAAGGTCCTATGGGAGCCTGAGACTTTCCTTTTCTGTGCCTGGACACACCCTCTTCTTACTCACCAAGGCCCAGCAGGTGAAACTGACCACTTCTGCTGGCCATTCCTCCAAAACACCCTGTGGAAGTCTCTCATAAGTAGAGATTTTTTTTCTGAACATTCTTGAGGACAGAGGCTGGATTTCTGATGCACTGGCTACATTCTGGGACGACTAGTCCCATTGAGCAAGGGTGCTCGTGGATCCTGGGCCTCAGGGTAGGTAGCCAGATGTCCACACCCTGACTGGCACCAGGTGTTTACTCATCAAACACCTGTGACCTAACTCCTGGACTGACCAGGGAATGAATGTGTGCTGGATACCTGGAGAGCATTTAAAAAAAAAGGGGGAGGGGGCGGCGGCAAATTCATCAGTCATGGTTCTTTAAAATCCCAGCCCTTGGGAGGCAGAGGCACACAGATCTGAGTTTGAGGTCCAATAAATTTGTAAGAGGGTAAATCTGTATTTGTGAATGGTCCCAGATGATTCAATGCTTGTTCATGGGGTGGGAGTCAACCATGGTCCCAAAAGCTGGCCTGAAAGCATTTTGCAATGGATCAACAGATAAATATCCTTAAGCATGTGTATTATGAAATAGTTATAAAAACTGAGGGTTTTGGAACAACAAACTTGAGGCCATCCTGACTTCCCAACCCCCACCCCCACTCTGCCTACTTCCACCCTGGTCTGAACCCTTTCTAATCCACAGCTAACCCACTGCAGCCCACTCCCAGCATTTTAAGGAAGAAACTGCCCTTGAATTTCCTTTTTTGAACAAAGGCAAGGGAAGGTCAACCATTTGCAAAGTAGTGTTTACTTAGCACAGAAGCAAGGAGAGTGAGGAAACTGGTTTGGCTGGTTTGCCAGGTGCGAGAGTTTAGGGGGAACATTCAATCAGCTCTTGAACCATGAATATAAATCATGGGAAAGGGAAAGTCACAGACCAAGGGCTGAGGGCCATGCAGAGGACCCTATACTGCGCTTTCGCTGAGACACACACCCCTAGGCTATAGATGCCTATGGTTATATCCACATTACAGATGGGGAAACTAAGGCTTAGAAAAGAAAAAGTCTTGTCAGGAGTTCCTCATCTGGCCTAAGACATTGCCTCAAGAACCTTCTAAGACTGAGCTTTGCGAAGCTAGTAATTCCAACACTAGGGAGGCATAAATAAGCAAGAGGACCAGCGGATCTAAAGCAACGCTACTTGATTTCCAAGACAGAGCCTAGTGTGGGTGGGGTGGTGAATGACTTTAATCCCAGCACTCAGGGGCAGGAGCAGGTAGATCTCTAAGTTTGAGACTTAGGGAGTTCCACTCCAGCCAAGGCTATATAGTGAAACTCAAAAACAAACAAATAAATAAAATAGATAAAAAAATAGGAAGAGAAGGTACAATTTTCTTTTTAATCGACCAAAGAAAATCACTTAAAAATAACTGCTCATTTCCAGATCCAGGTTTGAGGTCTCCCTTCTGTGGCCTCAGAAGCTTTCAAAGGGAAGTGCTTGGTTCACAATGTTCCAGAGGACATGCTTAGGGCCAGGCTCCGCTTCCAGGCAGAGGGCAGGGTAGAGGCCTCACTCTGCCCTGGTTCATTTACCCTCCAGCTACTCTGGGGACACGGAATAGAGCCTGAGAGGAAACTACTGAGTCAAGGTAGCAAAAATTGATTCCCGAAGCCATTCGTTTGTTCAAAACAAGACTAGAAGGACTGTTGGGTCTGTAAGAAATTGTTGTCCACTTTTCCCCTTCCATTTCCTCTTCCTAAGACATTACACAGCCCTACCTAACCAGACTGTCTTCAAACTTCTAACAATCCTGCCTCAAGTGCCTCCATGATCAGCTTCTTTTTTAATCCTTCCCCCTCAAAAAGACAGGGTTTCACAGGTAGCCCAGGCTAGCCTCAAACTTGAGATATTCCTGCCACAGCCTTCCCAGCACTGAGATACAGGTGTAGACTGCCCTATCTGATTTATTAAATGATTTTTGCTAAATTTCCAAAGCAACTTACAGAGACAGGAGGCAGAAGGGAGACTAGAGACTGACAGACACTATCCCTCAGGCAAGGGGTATCTGAGAAGGGGCTTACTTACATAGGGGGTTTGGGGAATACAACTCCTGGGGCTACATGCAAACCTGCAGCTTCTCCCCCTGGAGTTGTTTGTCCAGACAAGGCTGTTTTATCTTTATAAACTGTCCTGCCCTGGCTATCAGGGTATGGGTCATAGTGGGAGACTGAGTTTGGCAATGGCAGTGATGCAAGAGGAGCTAGAGTCTCACTATATATAGTACCTTGGTCAGGGTGTGGAGGAGTTTGTTCAAGACCTTTCTTTCTTCCTTTCTCTTCTCCCTCCCTCACTCCTCCCCTCTCTCCTTCCTTTGAGAGAGTCTTACTGTACAGCCCTACCAAGTCTGGAACTTGCTATGTAGACCAGGCTGGCCTTGAACTCTGCCCTCTCAGTGGTAAGATTATAGGCATGCACCACCACCACCACCACCA